GCGAAGGTTTGCTATGTGGACATGCAAATTTCAAAAGTGGGTGGTTGGCGGGTGCTTTGGTGTGGGCTCCTTCTTTCCTACCAAACATTTATTGTCTTGATCTCTCCTCCTCTTTTGTGTTTTTTACTCTCTTGTAACTCCTCTAATCTTTGGTGCTTATAATATGACCTTATTGTGTTGCAAGTGCCGTACAACTTACTTAAACCAAACTAAAACTAAAACTTCCTAAAGAAACCAAGGCAAGGTATAGCTGTCTGAGAATTTGATCAGGGTCCTCTGGGCCATAGCCAGAATGACGCCAGACCAGATATCGGTACACTGTTATGTAGTACATTTCGAGTATAAGAGAAAAAAAATACGTAAAAGATAATTCAGGAAGATCTGTCACCTAGGGTCTGGTTATGGGTGATATTTTACCTCACGATCAGCTGGCAGACCCTTTCATGGATCCCGGAGATGAGGATGGAGCAGCTATGGCATTGTGCCGCCTGCAATGATGTCTTTTCTCCAACCAAATAAGTAAGTAAGGCCCGTCTCACATAGAACGATTTACTACAGACATGCAACATCACACGCCTCACTTTATCATCTGATCACAAAGAATCTAGGTTTTGTCATCCACTAGTGTCCTCATTGTCTGTGCATGCTTGTTTTCTTTTTTTTTCCTGCTTGCATGCTTTTTCGACAGTTTGTTACGGCTGGGCTTAGCACACATCCACTAGAGCTGTACTCACCGCAGGAGATGACAAGACTCGTCTCAAAAAGAATCAGCAAGCACATTCCTCCCCTCATGTGAACACACGCTTTACAACGTGACTAGCGTGAGGCAACTGCTCATGTGAGGAGCGCAGTTAAAATTCGACTGAACACTTTTGCCTACACGCGTGACCCGTGTCCGAGGATACCGGAACTAAAGATTTATTTTGATAGCCTCGCCCGTGTCTGTTCACCTGCGTGAGTGTCGAGTGACGCTCTATGTGAGGCTGGCCTAGATCTAGGCCTAGGCCTTGGCCTACGACAACAGTCGAAACTAGGTCAACCTCTCGATTCGAAGTTTCAAAGTATGATAAAGTGCATTTCTGGGTGATTTTGTGGCCAAGTGTTGATGCTAGCATCAATATTTAATAGTAAAGCCCCTAATAATATTTAGTTCTTGTTGATTCTGATGATCTGTGAAGAGTTTCAGTCGAAAATAAACACGAAGCGAGGCGACACATGTCCGCCATTTTTACAACACTGTTGAATAGCACGTCTGACGCATCGCGCAGCTCAGCTGACAAAAAACAGACAACACAGCGACGCTGCTTAAGCACACGATAATGTATACATTCATTTTCACGGTGCGGGCCAGGCGAGCTACAGGTCAGACCTACAGAGCCACTCTGGGACCGGCCTAAAGGTGACAATCCATATGTGCGGGACGGAAGCGGCAGCGGCACGGCAGCGGGACGATAAAAATCGCTCCAACAGAAATTATACCAATGTCTGAATCCATAAGTGCGGGACGGCAGCGGGACGGCAGCGGGACGATAAAATCGCACCCAGGAGCGATTCTGCCGCTGCCGCAGCTCTGCCGCAGACAAAAATATGAATGTGGCGGAATAGGGTTGACTGTGAAGAATCTCTGTGTGATGCAGTTAATTTATTTGGCACAGAAAACTTGCTGAAACCATTGCACCCCTATGTCGTCGTTTATCCACCCATTATCTTGATGCCCAAATGGTGCCTTCTGGGCTTTCCTGAATGGCAAAGGAATGAATGGACCTGTTCGTTATGCTTGTGACAAAAGATCAAGATAATTGCAACTTTACAATACTGGCGAAAATACCTGTCGGCCGTGGCGAATTTCCCCGACGATTGGTAACTTTAGTAAAATAGTATGTATTTATTCATTAAATTGATTGAAATAACAATTAAATACCTCTACCTAGAGATAATAAAGCAGTTAAATTAATGGAATCAATGCAAGAACATGGAAAATATGGATGATAATTAAGTCTATAAAAATGATAATAATAATAAGAATAATAAGATGATAAGTCAATAAGAATTAAATGCAGAGATGTGTAGGCTCTATGAAGAAGATTTTTAGAAAGAGGCGCACATTTCGTCCCGCTGCCGTTCCGCTGCCGCACATATGGATTTAATGTGACTTGCGGTACCGCACATATCGTCCCGTTGCCGTGCCGCTGCCGCTGCTGTCCCGCACATATGGAATTGTCACCTTAAGGGTCTGGTCTTTTTTAAGTAAGTCCGGAGGCGCAGTTCGGTCAGTTCATGTCTGGCGTGTGTGTCCGGCGTGTGTGTCCACTAACATGCGAGTAGCTCTCACGTCACTCTGACATTTGTCGTTATCAGGCTATGAAGAGTCAAGAGGTCTTTTTCTTTTTCTTTTCTTTTGTTCTTTTTCTTTTCTGTTGCCGTTAAGTGTTGAGGAGAGATGCAGTTTTCTATGGTAGGCCAACTCCGCAGCTCTTTCAGTTGTGATGTTATGTCAAGAGGTCACAGGGCGAAAAACGGGAATAAGAAATGGATTTTTTTCAAACGAGTAAATTTGTTAATGAATCAACATAGAAATAATACGTTAAGTCATATTTAACTATTTGACAAGTGGTCGAGTATAAATGGTGAACAAAACTGGACCGAAGACGAGCCCTGGAGGACCCCGTACATAAGATCAGAGCATGATCTGACGTCGTAAGTCCTGTAAAAACAACAGATTGGTATCGATTTGACAGGTAAGAAAGAAACCAGCTAAAGGCAGTCACGGATGTTCCAAAAGACACTTCCAATCGCTTCAATAAAATATGATGGTAAATTGTATCAAAAGCTGCAGATAGATCTAAAAAGACTCAGCAAAACAACGTTTCCTGAATCACAGTCAGCAAGCACTTCATTCATTTCTTTAA